AACACAAAAATTACCCAGACACACACACACACAATTCAGACGAAAGGTTCATATTAAGCACTGACAAATGCATCTTCACAAGTCTCTAGTGTCAGAGATGAATTGCTAATTTCTGCATATTATTATGTAATGAGCTCATTAAACATCACATCATAAAGTAACTGAAATTCTTTAGCTTTATAAAACTGAATCTTAAAAAAGATGGAATAAAAAAACACCAACATCTGCTGGTAAATTTAATACAAGTCAAAGCTTTTAGTTTCAGATTAGACACACAGTCTCGCTACTGAGGAGATGAGCATTACCCTCACCATCAAAGTGGACATTAACTTTGTGGTTTCATCCACTCTGATTGCTTGAAAGGCATTTCAATTTGTGTAAAGATACTGTAGCTGTAATGTCATTATGTGTGTTGATTTTGAAGTAGCACCTGGGGAGGCCTTTAAAACACAAAAGCAGGCCGCACCAAGAGTCAACCTCCACTATGACCAGATTTTTTATGTTTTTTAATGTTATTTTCTTGTAATGGTGCGCGAGCTTAACATCCAAGACTTTGAGGTTGGTTTGTAAACAGTAATGAATTCACATGCTGTTTTCTCTCTGTGTACATTAAAGTTAAAAGACATAAAATGTTTGTGTAATTTGCATCCTCTACATCCAAGCTTCACCTTGTTTCTCTAGGGGTAGTACAGAGGGCAGCGTGTTTTCATCTGAGATCACCTACAAAGCTTCCCATTAGCAGCTCGTCATATATGACACCTAACACAGGTTGGGGCCCTGGGGACACAACAGGGTCTTGCCCATATAGGATAAGGTCAAATGTAAAGCCATTTGCTGGCGTGGAACAATAAACATAGAAAGGAAAATGAGTTACTCAAAGACTGCTTTAGTAGTAGTTACATAAATGGCTATCATCAAGTTGCTATCACCGTTCCTCATTCAGTGCTTTTAATGTCTCTTTTCCCGCATTTTAAATTTAATACAATATTATCAGAAGCAGGTGTAAAAGGAACAGCAACAGGAATAGAAGGAAAACCACATCATCAGGTTAGACACCTCTTCTGTACAAGCTGTACCTTGTTATAACAATTGTGACATTTCATGTCTACTTAATTCATCCATATCCAATGCAGATTTTTGTTTTATTAATAATAAACCATTTCAGTATTGGCCGTCTCTCCTGGCAACAAATTGTGAAATGGTTTGACTGAGAGACTTATGACAATGCCAGCAAGTTATTGTAGTTTCATCTCAAAAGCTCCCAAATGGCTCCAGGCAAGTGAGCGAGGGGTATCTCCTTACTCCTATCAGGCAGCTTTGCACCGTCTTCTCAGGATGAGGAAAATCATTCCTTGGAGGTCTGTGTACTGTGATGGTTCAGTTAGATAACAACCAACATCTGTGCATCACATGGAGACAAACCGCACCAAAACACTTCCACTTTAACTAAAGATAACTGGTAAGGAAGTAAGGGAAGACAAAGAATACCGTTCATGTAAAAGCAAATGAATTTGCAAAGTGTGATCATCAATGTTCTCACTGAATAAAAGCTACTGTAGGTAAACTACACATGATAAATTGGTCTTCCAGTATGTCATGTCAATGCCTGAACTTTGTCTCTGGCCCAAATTCAATGTCCACCCTCTGCCCTAAGCACTGAACCCTCACAGACTTAAACTGACAGCACCTGCAAGCTCAGCGGAAATGCACAAGTGCAAAAGGGTGCAAGACCTCAAAATGCTTTATGAGAAACAAGACTGCTCTCGAAAACTAGTGCATTGGTCCTTCTGTCACCAGTAAAGAGAGGCTCATATTTCATAAGCAATGAAAACGTGTATGGAAACCGTTACTGTGCCATGCAATCATAGGACAACAACTACATACAGTGCTTGCAGGTGAGCTATGTACATGTAAACCTGTTTTTTTAAATGATGTTTATGGATACAGGAAGTGAACATAAAGAGCTCAAAATGTCAGAGAGGGACAACACACAATCTTTGTAGACTGTTCGAAAGCAGGTGTCATATCTGAGTCTGAAAACATGCACATCGGTGGTGCATTTGGTTCAACATGAAATGTTTGCTTCTGGACACGGTCTTTCCTCAAACTGAGGAGGAAATCCCCAAATGACTCAAATTTGGTAATGTGACATCTTGACAACGATCATACACCAACAGAGAATGAATGGTCTTTGGAACAGACAGCACACACCACACAAACAAAACAAAAATTGCCAGGGTAAGACGGCGAGCCAGACACACCGGCACCATATTTCTCTTCCCAAGTATCTTTATATGATATGACATGGGAAAGACTGGTTGCTGTAAGTGCATGGAAAAAATCCTGGCTACCAATTTAAGATGTTTAAAATTACAATGTAAAGTTGAAGTTTGTGCTATAAGTGTCCGTTCATTTACAAAACATAAAAAACTAAAATGCTTTTTTTATTATTATTATTATTATTATTATTATTATTATTATTATTATTATAGAAATAAAGAAACTCCAGCCGTATTCAATTATAATTTTTTTTAAAGTGATGACTGCTTCTGAGAAAAACAGCAGTCAGGCCCAATTCTTATTCTAATTTCCAAAGTTTTGTTGCCATTACTGATTCTCCACTGTCAGTCTCTTTAAAGCACATTATTTGTATTCACTTTGTTGTCTACCCAAACTGAGAACATTTTGTTATAGCTCCACATCCTTTAATTGGCTGTGAAAGCTGTTCCCTTTCAACTTGAGTTGATCCCTTGCCCTTGTTCCTTCGCTCACAAACAAAAAGGTTCCTTGCATAAGCTGAAACTTCACCAAACAAGTATCAAGGGAATACAATGAGCTAACTAGATGCCCGTCATCACTGAGTTTTGCTTTGGGTATCTTGGTTTGACTAGTTTAGAAAATGTTGTAATGAAGCGATTAGCAAGCCTGTCTGCATGTTGAGGTATTATTTTCAGCTTAGTTATTTATAGTTTTACATCCAAGTTCACTGGATTATCCAGTGAATATGAAATGCCATATTGCTGAGATTTCTGAAAAGATGTTGCCTCAAAATGTCTATAAAGATTCTCAGCCATGTCATAGTTTTCCAAAGGACGGGTTTAAGTGTAACTAGACTTAGTTTGAGGTACTTGCCTCAAAATGTTTTACATTTTGAGGCAAGTACCTCAAGTACCTTTAGTGAATCATTAGGTACAAACTGCTTTTTTCCCCCCACAACCCAGCTTTTCTCCCTCCCTTCTCCACTCCAGTGTCTGACAAGGCAGCAGCAACATATGAATGGCCTGACAGGAGGACATATCAAGATAATGCATCCACTGCTGTATATATCAACATTTAGAAGAAGCCCTCTCTGAGCATTGTGACAAAACGTCGTGTTACAACACTGATTGTTATTAAGACATTATTCCTCATATTAAAATTGTTAAACTGTATTTCTATGTGACTGTTTCTTGCGCTCCCTCCATCTATAATGAGCTGTCTTGATGGGCTCAGGACAGGAAATGTGAGCTCTGCACCTCACTGCTCATTATTCAGGTAGTCAGGCGAAATGTACGGGAGAGAGAAGGGCACCTCATTCGGATCAGTCGTCATGGTGACTGCTACAAACGCTAATGAGACCTCAGGATCTGTCACTATCCAAATCACTGTCTGTGAGAGTTTATAAGAAAATCATTGGCCTTGCTTGTTTTGTTGGTTGGCTGTTCTACTATGCCACACATAACCGCTTGCTGAAACACAGTATAAGGGCTGTGAAAAGAAAAATACTGTTTAGTAGAGTGATTTAATAGGAGATAATATCTTTTGTGTCCAATGCACAAACCTGTGAAAGAGTATAGGTCACATACAATAACAATAGTGTATATAGTATTTACTTAAAGTTGTCATATTATGCTCATTTTCAGGTTCATAATGTTATTTAGGAGTTTTACCAGAATAGGTTTACATGCACACAAAACACCATATTTTTGTCATAACCCTGTGTGTTGACCACTCTGTTTTAGCTACAGAGTGAAGCATCTCACTTCTATTTGATATAGTTAAGGACTATTAGCCAATCAGAAGCAGAGTAGGGCAGGTCCTGACAAGCCGGTAACCACGGCATCGGTTCAGCTGTACATATTCCCGAACCAGCTTCGCAACTTACAGTGAAGCAAGAGTTTCAGAGTGGTGAGTTTAGATAGGTTGGACTACAATTAAGCTGTTTTCAGGCAGTTCAGGAGCAGTGTTTTCTGTGGGAGATGGTAACTCCTTTTGGGGTGGAATTTGGGCTTCTTTTTTTTTTACTTTGGAAACCTATTACATGCACAAAGATGATATGCATTACACAATAAAGGAAAGGGAAAAAGCCAAGAAGTATAATATGACTTCTCTAAATTAATTACTTTGCTCAGACTACCTGTCACACAAGGTAGTGAAGGGCAAGACTTACACTATGATTTACACAAAAAGCAACCATAGTAGCCATAGTCGTCTTGGCTCCAAATGTTCAAGCCTAATCCAAAGCCAAATTCTTGTCGTGTCTAGATACACAGGAAATGTGTGGCATCATTCCTAGTAATTTTAATCTTATTTAATGGATGATAGAGTGAGCTGTGAGGATGAGATGTGTGATTTAATAAAACCCTACATGGCGGGAGAGATAAGAGCGAGATGAAAGGGAGCAAAATGTGAGAAAAAAAAGAGGTGAAAAGAAGGAACAGTAGTGCGTAGAGAAATATTACATTGACAAAAAGATGTCTATATAAAAAGGGGGAAAACCCCTACAGAGAGCAGATGAATAGAAGATACAATAACAGTGAGGATTCACTTATGCTGGCAGCATTCTGGGTGCTGCACCGCATCTGCCAAGGACAAAACAATTGAAAGAGGTGGACAGAAACCAGGACAGGGTAGCTTTTATTTGGTGGGCTATATAGAGTCTTAATAAAGCTGTTCACCCTGTCCCTCTAAATAAACCTCATTGCTGTTGAGGTAACAGGAAGAATAAACACAGCTCCTACCTGTCCGATCTCGGATGGCCAGGTTGTTCCCTTTCTTTAGGACGATATCCAGCTGGTACATGGCTGGACTAGGAGGTTGAGGTGTTGGCTCTGCATTACTGGGCCCAACTATGTTAATGCCCTGTAGACAGAATAAGTTACAGAAGTTATACAGGTACACCAGTACAGTCCAAATTACTTCAGCATTATAATTTGTTTGTTGACAAAAGTGGAAAAAGACAAAAAAGGACAAGAGAAAATCATGACACATCTGCATGAGGAAAGGGGAGAAAAGATTACCTACAGTACATACATATGCCAGACACATCTGTGTTATTAAAAAAAGAAATGAAGACAAATTAGACTATTTAAAGGGCTGGGCACTAGTGGACCTGATAATGTTTACATCCCATATGCATAATCAGCAAGTGCAGATGAAACATTGGACTCTAGTTCCAAAATTAGATAGCTGCAATTGCAAAATAGTCAACTTCTTAATAGATTTTATATTATATTTTTATATTAAAAAGGCACATAAATTCAAATGTTGGGCTGAGTAAGAAGATTTTTGCTGCAGCATCGCAATGCTCTGAATAAATGCCATTAAGTACAGCAAGTCTCAAGAACAGACTATTTGCAAACAGAGAAATTGTGCATGCTGAAGTTAATATTTGAAGATTACATAATACATGTTTCACGTGTAGGCAGACAAATAATCATAGCAAGCATGCAACCCTCCTTGGGAAGCTTCTGAGTGTCTCTTGGAAGGGGTCGTGTCGGTGGCTTTTCATGTCAAGCTGTAGCCCTGAGGTCGGTGCTGTGAGCACTTTGACAGGCACCCTCCACTGGGTCTTATCGTGGTTCCCCTTTGATCTAGAGGCCCATTAGCAAACCACATGATGAACTATGCTCCGAGATCCACTATAGCTTACTTTCTTTCTTCATCTCTTGCTCATCTTATTCTCCCATTCTCATTTCTTTCTTCTCCCCATTAGACAACCCGTGCGTGGGCACTCCTGCCAGGTCTGCCCAGCTATCGTACTCTGAGATGAGACTAAAAATAACTATAAAAGAGCAGAAAAATGCTGGTGGACCACTGGGAGGCTACTAAAAGACTTCCAAGGCTAGCATAAGAGCAGCAACTCCCCCCAGAGAGGAGCAGAAGAGCAGAGAGATATCAGAGCAGCTAAAAACAGGGTAAGGATGCAAATGGAAAAAAGAAGAACGATCTACAATGACACTTCCTATTATCATCATTATGCACACTTCCTAACGAGGCAATGCTGTCATGCACCATCCATCCATCATCAACCGCTTATCCTGCGTACAGGGGGGGCTGGAGCCAATCCCAGCTGACATCAGGCACAAGGCGCGACCTGGACAGGTCGCCAGTCCATCGCAGGGCGCTGTCATGCACCATTTTCTGTAATTGTTAATAACATTGTTTCCCTCCAGAATAAAGTCTGACTGGCCTTAAAAAAACTCTTGCTTCTACAAAAATCCCTGTAACAACAGTGAGGGTTGGATAACTAATCCAAAAAACAGATATAACAGAACATGCATTCAACGCCCTGTTTTAGGTAGTGGCATGATGGTATTGCAGTAGAATATGAAGGTGCAGTTAGTTCATTCTGTAGGGACAGCCTTGTATTGAGGCTACGGGTTAATAACGGTGAGTATAATTACACTGTGGTCAATGAATTCCCACTGTGTTATAGTGAATATCATGTGCTGCCCTCAGAAATGACTAATATCATAATCTGTATTGGTCATGCCTAACTATCACATGAACTGGCATTTGCAGCAGAGATTGTAGGAGACATTTGTATTACATCATGCATTTTGCTGAAACAGAAAAGCAAAAGGCAATCCAAAACCTTTGATCATCATGCATGTCAAAAATGTTTATGTGTAGAGGGTAGTACATATTACACACACATCAGAATTTAAAACCACAGCAGCTGGGCCAGAAATGCTGTGTAAAGCTTGGAACTCCCAGATCTCCATCAACCCCAAAACAATTTTAGCTTCACATCACTTGCTGTCAAACAAAAAAGAGGGAAAGGGAATAGAGTTGATCTTTTGGGGAAAAGGAAAAACTAAAACCAAAATGTAATCTGTTAGGTAACAGGTGCACCAGGTCGGAAAATATCTGGAGAAATCTAATGTGAACATTCAGGGACAGTCAGAGATTTAAAGCTGTGTGTTAGGATAGGATAAACCTGGGATCACCAGTGCATGTAAGTCAATGTAATTGAACTCTGTATGTGTGTGTGTGGATTCAGCCAATGGGATTGGACAAAAGTTGCGGGGGTCTGACCATGTAACATCAAGCCCTTTTGTCTACGAATGTGAACACACAGTAACACAGAGACACACAGAGCAACACAGTGTCGAGTCGGGTCACTTCATCACACAGAGCGATTAAGAATAAGATGGAAATCCCCAGACTGACTGTGCCCACACAAAATACCAGTGCACGTTATTTTTTCCTCTGTTGCACATGCACAAAATCTTTATTATTACTTTATATTTTTGACAATGTCAGTATGTATTGTGCGTATGTTGTACAGTACCACTAACAGACACGCAAGTTTAAAGCACACACACACAGACATAATAGGGAGGAACAGGATGTAAAATGGATTTGCAGAAATGTACAAGCTCTTAAAGTGAGCTATAGTACATATGATAGGATCAATGAAGTCTTCTCTAAAACAAGCAACCAGATAAAATAGACAAACAGGCTGCCAAGTTAAAACTGTCAAAGTACAGAAAGAATGACAAGCCATTAAAGCATAGTGTTGCTTTAAGTTACATCTGCAAACTCATGACTCGTCCACTATATACTATTTTTTTAATCAAGTTCTAGTTGACTAAAAGCCTGGGTATATCGCACGGCGCTGGCGCTAATGCTGACAGTTGCAACGTCTCACGCTCAGGTACAAGACACAGATGATCTGACATTCATCTTTATATTGAAGGTAAACGAATAATGTCTACAAGGGTTGGGGGACGTCTACAAAATTGCCATCGGACGATGTCTACAATGAAACATCGGGATTATACAGTATTGTGTATTCAAAACATTAGAGCTTAGCCAAAGCAAATATATTGGTATGTCAGTGAATATTACGGCGAATCTATGGCTGGTGTTTCAGAAGTGTTTTTATGCAGCAAATGCTTCAGTTACATGTGATTGCGTGTTGGGCTCTGAGCACTTCCAAAACGCAGGTGACCTACACAGCATTATATATTAAAATTCCACACATTTGTAACAGCTTGGATTAAATGTTAAATTATTCTCTGTCACTATTCTCAGCCACAGAAAAAAATGTGTTTAAGTTTAAGTTTAAATACTGTACACACACACACACACACACACACTCTGCAGGTTATTTTGTTCAATGACAATCACCCCTGGTCCATCCTTTGGGATGCCGTCTCCATCTTGTCCCCTGAGTTCAGTAAGCCTTAGCCCTTACCTCTACACAGTGAGGCCTCAGTGGAGAGGGACACATACTTCAAAGACACAAACCACACTTACACACACACATTCGGAAATGGAGAAGAAAAAAAAACAAAAAAAAAGGAAAGGCAGCCAAGGTCCATCCCACTCCACCTGCTCTGTGTTTCACGATTCCTTAAAGCTGACAGCTAAACAATAGCTACCACAACCTAATTTTCAGTCTCTCTCCAGTCCCAGAGAGCAATTGTGGCAGAGGGAGACCTTACGGAGCATCAGAATAGGTGTATGTCTGTGCTAATGTGGTTTGTAATGCAAGTAATCTTGCATTTTTGTTTATGTCATATGTCACAGCAAAATACAATATTTTATTTAAGGTTTCTAAGCACAAACACAATATCAGACTTTTTCACCAACAATTCTCATTTAAACTGTGTATACTAATGATAATCCTAAACTTATATATGAAAAGGTCTGTGTGAATAAATAACATGCAGCGCAGCACAATGTAAATACAGGAAAGAAAGAAGTTCCGTTACAGCTGTATGTAGCACTGATCCAGTGAGATTCAACTATCAGAGCACTTTAGATCACATTAAACAATCCCTGGAGAACTACACTGGAAAGTGCTCTGGGTATTTGGAAACAAGCTTTCAGCACTTCAGTCAAAAACCTTTTGGACTGAATCCCAACTGAATCCATTGAAATGTCAATCAATACCAATTTCCTTTCCCATGAACTAAATACTGCTTTGATGGGATAAACACGGTTCAACATTGCATTGCAAATTGATGGCAACCTTGCATCCTTCCATCATCTCCAGGAGGCTGTTTGCGTGTATATGTGATTGCATGTGTGCTTCAATACCTTCATGTTTGTGAGTGAATGTGCAGGGTTATCAGTGAATCAATGAATGAATCAGAGAGGGGAGAGCTGATCTTAAATAAGTAGTCAATAAATAAAACAAATGTTGTAAATAAAAATATGGAGAAAATCATCAACATGATATTGCACACCAACAGACTCTAGCCGACACAATGCGTGTTATCTGCTGCCCACAGTCCAAGAAGGGCACCAGAGCTTTGAGATGGGATAAAGTTCAGCTCTGAGACATGTTATAAAAGGCATAAAAAACACTTAGTCAAACAGCCTTACTTCTATTGAATCCCCTGAACCTTAATTAAAGTCACAATACAATAAAACTCACAAAGATCCACGCACACAATGCCACAGCATCATCACAGTAACAGACACATTTGTTTCCCCCTCCCACCACCACTTTTTGTGCTAAAGGGAAACATAGGTTTTGGCCTTTTAGGTTGACATCTTGCTCCTGAATCTCCATTGTTCAGCAACAGTCCCAAACTCATTCAGAGGAAACGTATATAAAGCTCAGTGTGGCAATGTGTCAAATGTCAAAAAACCCAGCTGGTCATCTTGAAGCTCATAATGTTCCATTTCTTTTCAAGACAAAATGTGTACAGGCACTACTGGCTCTTCACCAAGGATGCACTCACAACCCACGCATGACCCATAAGTTTCCACTCTTCTCAGGCTCTGGGTGAAAATTGCCAATAAAATGGGACACTGGAGGCCTCTGGGTATAATCTATTAAAAAGACAGACTACTCAAAAGACAGAGTAAACAACTTGGGTGTTTATGAATGATTGTTTGTC